CTAAGGATTTTTTTATATGTGAAGGATTTTTAGGACTTGTTCACAAAATTACTTAGTGTTTATGGAATATTTTGCTTTTTCAAGGGTAAACTTTTCATCATGAATTTTGCGACACAGTTAGGTCTTTTTATTCATTGTATGGACGTTTAATGGCATTGAATAATTAAATAAACATTATTTAAAACGTGCATGGCCCTTAAGTGGTCATTCCCCGTAATTTTCAGATAGAAAAAAGAGAGAGAAAATCTTAGGCTTTAAAACTCTGGTTGGGTTTGAAGAAGAAACCCTAGGTTTCCTCTATTTATTGCTTGTACTAGGCCTAGAGTAGTGCTGATTTTTTGTTCTTCTCTAATTTTCCTACATCAACTTGGTATCAGAGCTCAGTTTTCTTCAACAACAAACCCAAAACATCACAACAAAGTCCAGGGTTTGCTGATTTTGGGCCAAGGTTTGCTTATTTCAGCCAAACTTTACTGATTTCAGCCAAAATTTTGCTTATTTCAGCCCGACATTTGCCAAATTTAGCCTACATCTTGCTAATTTCAGCAAGATTTTGTTGATTCTAGGCCTAGAGTTTGTGATTTTTGTGAGCCCATGGCAAAGAGAAGAGGTCATGAAAGGACCCACTTCGTGATCCCAAAGATGAGGCAGTGAAGACCTTAGGAGGCAAATTCAGCAGCTTGCCGGAGGGTATGCAGCAGGACAAAATTCATTTATTTTTAAATTTTATTAAACATCAAATGATGCATATTTTTATTTTAGTTTTAAGGTTTCTTTTTTTGGTTGTTTAAGTTTTTATTTCTTTTTTGAATTTTTGGGTTTTATTTTTATTTTTTGTTTATCGTTAACTAGTTACTATTCATAGGTACTATTCATTGGGTAAAATTATCATTGTGTATAACTAGGGTAAAATTATCGTTGTGTAAAACTAGGGTAAAACTATTCATAGGTAGTATTCATAGGTACTGTTCACAAGGGTAAAATTATCGTTGTGAATTTTGTGTTTTAAGTTAGGATATTTTAGGTCATTTTAATTACTGTATGAGCATTTAATGTCTTTGAACATTAAATTATAATATATAAAATATGTGTAAGGCCTTGAGCGGGTCATTCCACATGATTTTTAGAACTTAAAAAAGAAAGAAAAGCTTAGACTTTTAGAACCCTAGCTTGGGTTGAGGAGAAAACCCTTGGTTTCTCCTAGTGATTGCTTGTGCTTGGCTTGAAAAAACTTAGGTTTTCCTCCTCACCCCAATCTAGAGAGTTCTAAAAGCCTAAGCTTTTTTCTTTTTCAATTTCATAAACTCACGTGGAATGAACCCCTCAATGCCCTACACACCTTTTATATTATATTTTAATATTCAAAGACATTAAATGTTCATATAATAATTAAAATGATCCCAAAAGTCCTAACTTAAACACATAATTGATAATGATAATTTTTACCCTTGTGAACAACACCCCCTAGATGGTACCTATGAATAGTAACCAGTGAATAGTAAATAAAAATAAAAAGAAAAACCCTGAAATCCCTAAAACAAAATAACCCTACAAATAAACCCTAAAACTAAAATCAAAATATACATCCCTTGAAGTTTAATAAAAATTAAAAATAAGAATAATTTTGTCCTACATCAATCTCCCTTAGTTGGAGAAAACTCGTACTCAAGTTTTAAAGTGTTTTACAATGAATTTTGTGTTTGTTCCACGGTCTTCTTCAACCGGAATATTGTGAACACAATCGGATGACTTGTGGTTATTGCACTAATCAACACACATTGATTGTGAATTGAAACTAAGTCTTTGCAATCAGATGATATATCCATAGAGACTTTTGAGACACCCTCGAAGAAAGAGTTATATGTAGAAATTGCATCAATTCAGCCATATAACCCAGATGAAATTGTCAAGTCTCAGCTCTAAAACACATCACCGATGCATCTTTGAAATGAGTATTAGATTCGATGACTGAACCAACAACTCTACCTATTGATTCGGCTCAAAAGTCCTTCATATTTTCCCCTCGTCAAAGATAGATACAACCACAAAATCTGGTTCAGCATCGTAAATCAAATCTACAAGATCTTGTTCTTCATCTAAGTATGCATCAAAGATTGGTAGCAAATCCCTATCTATACCATGCTGATTTTGGACACAACCTGCATCAAAATTACGTATGTCCTCCTTTAAATTGAAGAACCTAGAGTGATGCTCCCCACAATCTAGGTCTTCTATCACTTTCTTCTTCATTCGACTCTTCACGTGGAGCACAAAGCTGAAAAGAGTTCTATTCAACATCTTCTTGAGCAGAAAGATCACCATATTGCCCTTGAATGATGCTCACAAGCCCTACTCACTGCCATAGGTTTGTAGAAATCACAAACCTTAGGCAGAGAATAAATAAATAAAAACCTGCTGAAATCAGTAAGTTCTAGGCGGATTTGGTAAATCTTGGCCCAAAATCCGCCGACCCTAGACTCGGCGGTAGTTTTCCAACATTGTTGTTGAAGAAAACCTGAGTTCTAATACCAAATTGATGTAGGGAAATTAGAAGAACAACAAAAACTACAAGATTTTCAAGCCAGTCACAAGCAATAACCAGGAGAAACCTAGGGTTTCGTCCTCACCCTAAGCTAGGGTTCTAAAAGCCTAAGCTTTTCTTTCTTTTTCAATTTCTCAAAATCATGTGGAATGACCCCTTCAAGGCCTCACACACCTCTTATATATTATAATTAATGTTTAAAGACATTAAATGTCCATACAATAATTAAAATGATCCAAACATCTTAACGACAATTTTACCCCTATGAAAAGTACCCTATGAATAGTAACCAGTGAATAGTGAAAAAAAATAAAAAGAGAAAACAAAGAATCCCTAATACAAAAAATTAACCTAAAAATAAACCTTAAAACTAACATAAAAATATACATCCCTTGAAGTTGAATAAAAATTAAAAATAAGAATAATTTTGTCCCGCATAAGGGTATCATCCATAGGCACTACGGTGATCTTTCAGCCCACGAAGATGCAAATTTAATCCTTTTAACAACCATGCACCATGTGAATAATCAAGTTAAGAGGAAAGTGATAGAAGACCGTAACATAGGGAATATCACTTTAGGATTTTCGATTTGAAGGTGGACATTCCTGATTTTGACACAGGTTATATAAAAAATCAACAGGTTGTAGATTGGGATTCGCCACCAATCTTTAGCACATGCTCAGATGAAGAACAAGATCTTGTAGGGAATCCGATCTATGATATGGCTCAAGATGGAGACGAAAATGTTTTGGAAGAGGATCTTGCTCGTGAAGAATATCGCAAGAAAGTAGCAGAGGGACTAATCAAAATCATGGCCTTTGAAACTCTAAGGATATCGAAGAGGTAGAGATTTAAGGCATTGGAATCAAAGTAGAGAAAGGGAAGAGTGATCGACTCATAAACCACAAAGTGTGGTCCTGAATTTAGAGAGTACTGAAGTAGATGTCGAGAAGCCTCTAAAGACCAGAAAGTTGAGTTTGCAGCTTCCTACTCAATTTTCACTGCGAGTTCAAGGTTCGCCGAATTTAATAAGTTTGTGTCTATTCCATATTATACATACCACTATCTGTTTCTTGAGGATTTCGTCCTACAACAAATACTATTTGAGCCAATAAACTAGATAGTTGGGGCAACAAATAGGAAAAGATGGTTTTGATGTTGGATTTATCTTAGACTATTTCAAAACTCGAGGACGAGTTTTCTCCAATCAGGGGAGAATGATGCAGGACAAAATTATTCTTATTTTAAATTTCTGTTTAATTTCAAAAGGATATATACTTCAATTTTAGGGTTTTTATTTATGTTTTTTAAATTTTTATCGAATATAGGTTTTTAAATTTGTTTTAGGATTTTTAGGAGTTGTTTACAAAAGCACTTAGATTGTTTATGGAATATTTTGCTTCATAAGGGGTGAAACTGCCATTACAAATTTTGTGATTAAGTTGGGACTTTTGGCTCATTTTATTCATCATATGAACATTAAATGTCCTTGAACAATTAAATAAATATTATTTAAGAAGTGTATGGACCCTTGAGTGGTCATTCCACGCGATTTTCAGATTGAAAAAAGAGGGAAAAACTTGGCTTTGAAACCCTAGTTCAATTTAAAGAAGAAACCAGGTATCCCCCATTTTTCGATTGTGTTTGGCCTGAATTATTGCTGATTTTGTATTTCTTCATCAATTTTCCTACCTCAGATTTCAGTAATGTGATACATGCTTGCAAATTGTCTCCAAAAAAGAAATGCTAGACATGGCGTGTCTGTGGTATGGTCATTTTGTCATGTCTTGAAGTAGGCCTTTATATATTAAATGTAAAATTAGTATATAAATTAAGATTAAGAAAAATTTAAACATGTTCAAATATGGACATGCATGTAAGTCAAGATATGAGTATCTGAAGTTCAGATATGCCTGCTCAAGTTGTCGATGCACATAATCCAGAATTTGGACATGCGTGTTCACCTATAACATGCTGTTTTGCATGTCCAACAAGCAAAAAATTCGAGATGAGGTAGGTTACACTTCCTAGAGCACACTATATCAGTGTTTCACATGTGAAATGTGCTTGATGCTTGTCTTTGCAATAGATATCTTCAAAGGAAGCTCAAATTAAGAACTTTGTCACCATAAGCGAGTATTAATATTTCTAAATAGATAGAATCGCACTCACTGCATGCACACAATCGCAAAGGCAGTAGTAATAACAATAATAATATTAATAAGTAATAACAACCTCGAGGTCTTTTGGTTTCTACTGTTCTAAGGGGATAGGAGCAGTATTTAGAAAAGGAACCATAACACCATAAAATCCAGAGCTATATTGTAGTTTTATGGTAAAATAACACATTGCCAAATGCAGCAAAAAGTGTAACTCATAGCATCATAACAATAAAGTTTCCAACCTATATCAAAAATAAAAGTTCCTTTGTTAATTTGACACAATACAAATATTTACCTGGTTTATATCCTCTTTGTTGTAGTTAAAAGTTTCCAATGGCTTCTGTGAAGATGCCTATAAAAACTGAAGATGCCATCATTAGCAATGATATTGAAAGACATTAAAATACAAGATGACAGGGGCAGAAAGTATGCACAGTTACCATATGCACGTCAAAACTTTTGATTTCACTTCCTGATGAGGCATATAGAATGTCTTCCTTTCCTGCCATCAGCAAGAGCCAAAGCCAGTAGTCATCATCTCATTAGTTGAACATTATAAGGACAATATGCAGCCTTAGCAGAGAACAGATACAGAAAGTACGTAACAGACATTACAGTAGATACTCCACTGCCCTCCAATGTAGGAATCATTTGCTATCCGCAGTTTCCTATGCTTTAGGAGGCATATGTATGGATGGGAAAATATGAGTAAAATAGTCATGGCTCAAAACTGTTCTTTCACAAAATTATACCAGGAAGCAGCCTGTATGTTGCATAGAACCTCATAAAATCAAATCTAATGTAACAATACATGAAATAAAATCCAATAAATCATATAAAAATAACATCAATAACTGTGAATAAATTAATTTTATCAACGGAAAATTTTTAACATCATATAAATATAGCTTGTTAAAAGATAATTAATGAGACGGACACCAATTTTATAATAATAGAAACAATAATTAAGTTTTTGTTATTAATTATAAATAATTTCAATAAACAAAATAAAAAATTATCCCCAAAAATTATTTATCCTCATTCCCGGTATCTACGAAAAGGGGAATGATCGTGTGTACTTTGAATATACATTGTTGGAGCGTATCTAAATAAAAATATCCCTAGAAAATATCAGAGTATTGATTAATTATTGATTTTATCCAGTAATTTATACTCTAGCTATTAATATACTTAAAAGTAAAACTAATAATCGATAGTTAATAATATCGTTTAAAATTAAAAGCATAACAAATATCCAACTTATTGGAGAATGATTATTGCACGATATTAAATTAAATTATTTATACTCATTCCCCGTATCTATGAAAAGGGGAATAATCGTGTGTATTTTGATATACGTTGTTGAAGCGTATCTAAATTGTAGACCGTTGATTTTGAAGATCTAAGAATCTAGGAGGCTATTAACTTGATAGCACGAGAAGAGCTCTTTCCCATTAAATTATCTTTGACCGGTTTGCCCTTTCTTTCTTTCGCCCATTGAAACCCTCGTTACCACTTTCTTCCCTATATCTCTCCCATTAAAATCCTTCCCTCTCTCTCTACCTTTTTCTCTCCTCCCTCTTTTCGCTCATCTTTATTATGGCAGCTATCATCTTCATCTTTTTTCACTTCCCACTCTCCTCTTCTCTGAATTGCATTTCCGCTCTACTCTCTCTCTCTCTCTCTCTANTCTCTCTCTCTCTCTCTCTCTCTCTCTCTCTCTCTCTCTCTCTCTCTCTCTCTCTCTCTCTCTCTCTCTCTCTCTCTCTCTCTCT